CAAGAGCTAATCGAGGCATAATTAGCAACAGTTCTCGCCTCGTTAAGACCGCAAATTACAGCGCGACGGTCGCTATATTCAACGAATGATGCGAGAGCACACTACAATGTATTTCTCAGGTCAGGATCATTACACCCTCCACCATCTTACCTGTCTGCTGCTTGTTCCTGATCTCAGTGAGGTCCTTGGAGTCACGGCTGGCGGTGCTGCTGGACCTCGAGGAGGCCGAGGAGCAGCTGTTGGTGAGCCCCGGGAGGCTGGGTAGTGACGGCGCCTGCAGGAGACAACGGGTGGAGGAGTTACTCGAGAGTGGAGGAGTTACTCGAGGGTGTGAAGGAGTTACTCGAGGGTGGAGGAGTTACTCGAGGGTGGAGGAGTTACTCGAGAGTGGAGGAGTTACTCGAGGGTGGAGGAGTTACTCGAGGGTGGAGGAGTTACTCGAGAGTGGAGGAGTTACTCGAGGGTGGAGGAGTTACTCGAGGGTGGAGGAGGGTGTGGAGGAGTTACTCGAGGGTGGAGGAGTTACTCGAGGGTGGAGGAGTTACTCGAGGGTGTGGAGGAGTTACTCGAGGGTGGAGGAGGGTGTGGAGGAGTTACTCGAGAGTGGGAGACAGTGTCACTCGACGATGAAGGTTGTGGATGGGTCGTAAGTATCTTCTCCCCATCTTCCTCCCTCTCTCTTTCCCCTCCCCATCTCTCTCTCTCTCTCTCTCTCACACACACACTATCTACCCCCAATTCCACCTGTCCCACCCTTTCCACCTTCTTCCATCACCTCTTTTTCCCCTCTCTTTCTCCCCCCAACATCCCCCGTCTCTCTGACTCCCCCCTTCCTCCTCTCTTTCGTCTTTCTCCCCTTCTCTACCACCAATGAACGTGAATTCATTCGGATTGTTGTCGTGTAAAGCGTGTTAGTACCAAGGGAATAAGCCTCAAACTCTACGGTAACCACATGCCGTGTTTTATTTCATATGTCATGGAAATCGCACGGGAAGGGGGGGGGGGACACTTAAGATGTCTAAATTTCTTATACAAGGCACTTGGGCCAACCATCCAACTGCCTTGTGACAGTCACAAACCCCCGCAATGTTTCATTTGTGAAAGTTGGGGGTAAGACTCCCACAAACATCTGGCCTCCAGCCTCGGACAAACACCCTATTTAATAGATGTTAATCGAAATAGCGGGCTGAAAGTATGGTTATTAAATTGTTAGGAGGTTAAGTTAGTTAAGGAGATGCCATGGGGTTAAGAGGGTTCTAGATACGCTGCTTGTGAAGGGCTGATGTGGGTACATTGTTTATGTAGAGATCAATGTGGGTACATTGTTTGTGGGGTGGCTGATGTGGGTACATTGTTTATGTAGGGATCAATGTGGGTACATTGTTTGTGGGGTGGCTAATGTGGGTACATTGTTTATGTAGGGATCAATGTGGGTACATTGTTTGTGGGGTGGCTAATGTGGGTACATTGTTTGTGGGGTGGCTAATGTGGGTACATTGTTTGTGGGGTGGCTAATGTGGGTACATTGTTTGTGGGGTGGCTAATGTGGGTACATTGTTTGTGGGGTGGCTAATATGGGTACATTGTTTGTGGGGTGGCTAATGTGGGTACATTGTTTGTGGGGTGGCTAATGTGGGTACATTGTTTGTGAAGAAGGATTAATGGAATATTATCTGAGACGAAGGCTTCTGGGTAAGTGAAGGGGGCTCTCACGGGGCGCGTTCTTTTGCTAAAAGTAGGTGTTTTAATGCGTTGGTCACTGGAGGTAGGGAGGGAGTACCTGTGTGTGTGGGGGGGGGGTGTTTCTATAAAAGGTTCAGGCACAGACTATCTCACCAAGCAGGCCCCGAGGCTTCCATTTTGAAGGTGATCCACGCCCCCCCCCCCCCCCCCCCCGCGTCTGGCATCATTTGAACAGTGTGTTAAGGATAAAACTCGCGCCTTTACGAGCGGGTATGATGAGGGAGGTGTATGCGGGAGGTATATGAGGGAGGTGTAATGAGGGGGAAGGGGAATGTGTATGTGTAGACGGGGGTATACATTTGTGTGTGTAGGTGTGTGTATGTACTCACCTATTTTACCTGCAGGATCGAGCTCAAATTCTTGAATCCTGCTTTTCTAGCCGTCGGTTGTCTAATACAATATCCCCTGATTTATTTCTCTGTAATACCTGCTTTTGAAGTTATAAATGTAGTTTGACTCTTACAATCTGTTCTGTGAGTTCATTCCATTTACTCGCTACTCTTGCACGAAAAGAAAACTTTCTAACATCTTTATGACTCGCCGGAACCTCAAGCATTCATGCGTGCCCTTCTGCTCTGATGGTATTCATTGTAAACATTTCCTCTTTTTCTCCTCAATCAATTCCCCTAAGTATTTTATACATCTGTATCATTTCTCTCTCTCTCTCTCTCTCTCTCTCTCTCTCTCTCTCTCTCTCTCTCTCTCTCTCTCTCTCTCTCTCTCTCTCTCTCTCTCTCTCTCTCTCTCTCTCTCTCTCTCTCTCTCTCTCTCTCTCTCTTTTCCATCGTAGTTAGGTTGAGTTCTTTCAGTCTCTCCTTATCCCTCATCCCCAGCAATTTTGGGACGAGTCTCATTGCAAACTTCTGTTCCTTTTCTAACTTCTCTATGTCCTTTTTTAAGATGGGGGGCTCCAGGATGGTGCGGCATACTCTAAAACTGGCCTCACGTATCCGGTATTCACTGATCTAAAAGCCTCCTTATGAAAGTTCCTGAAAAATTGTCTGATTTTTGCCAGAGTATGCGGCTGACGTTTTTATATTTATATGAGCCTCTGAAGTTAGGTTTGGTGTTATATTCACTCCCAGGTCTCTTTCTCAAGACGTTATAAGGAGGTAGTTTTCCTTCATCGTGTACTGGCCCTTTGCTCTCTTGGCTCCAGTGTGAAAGAGTGGCGGTTGTGAAGAAATGTTTATCTCCTGGATTAATGACTTCCTCGGCCCGCTCACCCGTAGCTTGTATATATCCACACTCTCAACCTATATATTATCTCTTATCTCTACCTCCATACATTATCTCTATCTCCATAACATCTCGCTCATGGATTACGATGTCTAGGCTGGTTCCTCAGCATCCCTCTTGAAAGACGTAGGAACCATTCAAGAGCAATGAGACAACATATGCCTGGCCCTGAACAAATTTAGGTGTGAAAATCTGCCAGTATATAATAACTCAAGTCAAAGACATTTTTGCCTGAAATCCACATAACTGCTCTCAAAGACAGCTCTCACCGGGAGCTTCTTTAGGATCGAATTCCATCGGCGAGGTTCTTGGTTCCATCGCTGACCCGGAGAGAATGGATCAGAGGATCAAACCTCGATGCCCACAATGCCTTTCAGCTTCTCATCAGATGCCTGTCTCTTCCCAGGTTAACCTATTTTGTGAGGTGTTCGCCATACCGTGACAATCCCAAGCTACGTAAATACTACCGCTCTCTAAAATTTGTCTCGGGAAAAAGTCATTATTTGTTTCTTGTTGTTCTGACCCAAGGGGGAAACATGCTGCCTTTTCCATCAGATTTGGGAGCTACGGCGTACGCACAGCCAACCAGATCGCTCTGTCAGTTTTCTTCTCCTTTCCCTTAGCATTTAACAAACTGCTGAGGGATATTCTACCAGATCACTATGGTAACTTAGCGTGGATAAATGATCTCAGTCATGTCCACTGTCCCACGAAACGGATTTATTTCGTAACCCCGAGCAGTCCAACCACCCCCATCTATAGTCCATCTATTGAGAGCTTCTTCGTAGAAAGACCCTCTATAATGTGCCTCGATACTGTAAAGAAATAACGTAGGGTCTCTCGCCTCAGAGCGTGAATGCTCCCCATGCAGGAGATTTTCTATTAGTAACCCCCCCTCCCCCCACTGCCAGCAACAAGCACACGTGTCAAGCTGTAAAAACCCTACGAATTGCAGTGACTGTCTGCCTCACTTCCCTCACCTACACAGATTATAGATATATTTGCATGGAGTCACAGGCTCCCAGATGTGCTCAACATGGCCGCATGCTTTGCCACAGAAAAAGCACTTGAAGTAAGTGACATCATCAAGAGGAGCCTCGCCACCACCGGTGCCCAGCGGAGACAACCTCATTTCCCAATGTAATACAGTTCTGTTTACCCCCCGCTGTTCTTCCAATCTGCTCCTGGAGGAACAGTAGGCAGTTTGTGTACGACAAATCGTTCTTTTCAGCCGAGGCTGAGACCTACACTGACTTCAGTGTTGGGCGTGCAGGTGGTCCAGCCACCTACAGCAAAAGACCAAAGACCTGTAAGTCCAGAGAACCGGATCATCCGTACAACTCTTTATCCATTGCTTCGGAGACCCTCGATACTCGGGGACCCTTTACCCACCCTTGACCTATGGGTCCTCGGAGACCCTCGACCCACCTCAAGATAACCCTCGATATGCCTGGGGTAAACGTGGAGAGCGCTTTATTGAGAATCTGGGTTCTAGGGTCATCGACGAAACAAGAGACCCAAGAGCTGCCAGTTACCCTTTCCAGTGCCTCAGTGTGACAAATAATTTTCCATCTTTGCGTAACCAATCTTGTGTAATAAAGATTCAAACAATAAATGGAGAGTTGTAGAAAAAATATATAAATGCAGACGTGTGAGTCTCACAAGCGTCTATTGGTGCACATTTTTTCTTCTCCAAGGCGAAGGGTCTCCACTAATACAGCCGGAGAGACAGACAGACAGACAGACAGACAGACAGACAGACAGACAGACAGACAGACAGAGACTCCTTCACCCACGGTTACCGCGAGGGGAGACGAGCACCCGGCTCCAAGCTGACCCGATCAACACCTCTCAGATGTCTCTAGATGTTGACCGAGTCAATATTGGCACCATAAAGAAGAGTTGAAGTACCTTTCCATCTTCAGGAGCGACAAGAATCCAGCGTCAGGGAAGATGGAGAGTCCAGTGCCAGGGAGGGTCAAGAGACTGTCGTCAGGGAGGGTGAAGTGTCCAGTATCAGGGAGTCAGGAGTCTTACGCTAGGGATGGTCAGGAGTCCAGTGTCAGAGAGGATACAGGGGAAGCAGGGAGTGCCCTGGCCGGTATAAGCGAAGTAGCGAGAGCCCAGACCAATACAAGCGAAGTAGCGAGAGCCCAGACCGATACAAGCGAAGTAGGGAGAGCCCAGACTGATACAAGCGAAGTAGCGAGAGCCCAGACCGATACAAGCGAAGTAGGGAGAGCCCAGACTGATACAAGCGAAGTAGCGAGAGCCCAGACCGATACAAGCGAAGTAGCGAGAGCCCAGACCGATACAAGTGAAGTAGCAAGAGCCCAGACCAATACAAGCGAAGTAGCGAGAGCCCAGACCGATACAAGTGAAGTAGCAAGAGCCCAGACCGATACAAGCGAAGTAGCGAGAGCCCAGACCAACACAAGCGAAGTAGCGAGAGCCCAGACCAATACAAGCGAAGTAGCGAGAGCCCAGACCGATACAAGCGAAGTAGGGAGAGCCCATACTGATACAAGCGAAGTAGCGAGAGCCCAGACCAATACAAGCAAAGTAGCGAGAGCCCAGACTGATACAAGCGAAGTAGCGAGAGCCCAGACCAATACAAGCGAAGTAGCGAGAGCCCAGACCGATACAAGCGAAGTAGGGAGAGCCCAGACTGATACAAGCGAAGTAGCGAGAGCCCAGACCAATACAAGCGAAGTAGCGAGAGCCCAGACCGATACAAGCGAAGTAGCGAGAGCCCAGACCAACACAAGCGAAGTAGCGAGAGCCCAGACCAATACAAGCGAAGTAGCAAGAGCCCAGACCGATACAAGTGAAGTAGCGAGAGCCCAGACCGATGCAAGCGAAGTAGCGAGAGCCCAGACCGATACAAGCGAAGTAGCGAGAGCCCAGACCGATACAAGCGAAGTAGCGAGAGCCCAGACCAATACAAGCGAAGTAGCGAGAGCCCAGACCGATACAAGCGAAGTTGCGAGAGCCCAGACCAATACAAGCGAAGTAGCAAGAGCCCAGACCGATACAAGTGAAGTAGCGAGAGCCCAGACCGATACAAGCGAAGTAGCGAGAGCCCAGACCAATACAAGCGAAGTAGCGAGAGCCCAGACCAATACAAGCGAAGTAGCGAGAGCCCAGACCGATACAAGCGAAGTAGCGAGAGCCCAGACCGATACAAGCGAAGTGTTGGTTCTAGCACCAACATTAATCATTCACACAACTCCGAAACGTCTCGACAAAGAGGAACGATTCTTCCATGACTTTACCTGCCATCTTGGGGCACCGTCTGCCACAAGGATTTCCAAGCGCGTGACACTACGCGAACAACAAGGCTCTACCAGTGATAACATAAACACAAGAAGACCCTCACCAGAGATATTCTAAGCAGCAACATCGTTATAATCAACAGAAGAAACTGAAGATGACTAGATGCGCTTTAGCGACACTTGTCAAGCCCATTAAAAGTATATGATGATATATGGAGAGTTTATTTTTCAGTGTGGCAAAAAAAAAACGCAATAATATGTTCGTCTGAATATTCACAAGTAATATATTTGATAACATGGGAACACCCTCAGGCTCTCTCTCTCTCTCTCTCTCTCTCTCTCTCTCTCTCTCTCTCTCTCTCTCTCTCTCTCTCTCTCTCTCTCTCTCTCTCTCTCTCTCTCTCTCTCTCAGAAAACTTAGCATTCTTGGGGTGTTCACCAAGTGTTTCACTGCAGCCTGGAGGTGGGTAGAAAACAAGTGTAACTACACTCTCTATTTTCACACTAACACCCCCCTCCCCACACCACCACCCCCCACACCACCACCCCCCACACCACCACCCCCCACACCACCACCCCCCACACCACCACCCCCCACACCACCACCCCCACACCACCACCCCCCACACCACCACCCCCCACACCACCACACCCCACACCACCACACCCCACACCACCACCCCCCACACCACCACCCCCCACACCACCACCCCCCACACCACCCACCCCCCACACCACCTACAGCTTCCCCCCCCCCAGCTGTGGGAACAAAGACCTTATCTGTCGAAAGAACTAAATGCTGCAACACAGATAATAATCATCAATCGGTTTCCATTAATCTCCCAGCTGTTGTTGTTGTTGTTTTAGATTTAGCTACTCAGAACGAAATGTTCAAGTAGCACGGGCTATGGCGAGCCCGTAAACCCAGCTTCCTGGTAGCCCAATCACCTGACGGGATGCTTAAAGTCTCCAACGATAACTTCGTCGTCGCTACTTATATATTATTGTATATCCCATCGGAAGAACACAAGCGTTTGGGAAACGCGTTCCTTCACCTACTGCCTCTGTTTACCTAGCAGTAAATCGGTACCATAGAGCTAAGCAACTGTTGTGGATTGCTGCATCTGGGATAAGCCTAACAGGTTTCCTGCCCCCCCCCCCCCCCCCAGCTATGGGAAAAACATTAAAGTGAGCATATTACCCATGAAGTGAGGATCCGTCATTCATCTCGTCCTTTGAATAACATGAATGTGGTTAAGTGATCCAAGTGATGAGTTGTTGTGTTGAGAAACATATACTGAGCCAACACTGTGTTGCATCAACACCTATCCAGCAACACCATATATAATAAAGAGGAGTTCAACTTTTAAGCCAATCTCTGCACACATCAGCATATTTACATTATATTTTGTGTCTGTTAATATCTTAGGATTTTGACCATATAATTACTCAACAAAAATTACTTTAGACTGTTATTAGTGTTTTCCTGATATCATCATTATTATTATTATTATTATTATTATTATTATTATTATTAGTATACTGTCAATATTACTAGTATTATATATGAAACAATTAAACTGTTGCTGTTTGCGCATTAAGGTGACAAAAGACGAGAGACAGACTTACGGACGAGTTGCCATGGCCGAGGTGGTCGCAGGAACACTGGCACTTGAGCAGGTGGTCCTCGATCTCGCGAGGAAGACTTTCCACGCTCCGGCTGCGTCGTATACCCCTACAACCCTTGGTCAGCTCCTCCTCCAGGTGGTGGCAGTGGCGCCCTCTGTGGCTGCTGGCGTTGTGGTGGGTGTGGGCGTCGGTGTGGGCGTCGGAATGGGCGGGAAGGTAAGGTGGTCTTTTACCGTGGGCGTTAGTTCTGTCAGTGTGAACCTGAGCCCGACTCTGTCCTTGGACCCGAGTCCTGCTTGGTACAGCCTGACCGGACTCCTGGACTTGGTGGATTGAGAATTCGCCGGACTGAGCGAGGAACTTAGAGGTGGAGTGAGTGTTGTGGTAGGACTCGCCGTAGGGGTGAATTTGGTGGTAGGACCCACCGCGAGGGTGAGTCTCATGGAAGGACTCACCGTGGGTATCAAGGGGGTGAGTCTCGAGGAAGGACTCACCGCGGGTGTCGAGGGGGTGACCCAGAGCTGTGGTCAGACGGTCCTCCACACTACGAAGCTTCGGGAGCTGAGAGAGAAAGGGAGAGAAATAAACCCACGATAATTCAACAAGAAGTAAAAATACAAAAAAATACAACAAAGGCTACAGCCACATAGTGAAGATAAAGAAGACATAGCGATAACTAATAGATAAAGCCGTGCTGCAGAAGAAAAAAAACAATATTCCCCTTATTACCAACTCCTCAAAAAATATTTAAAAAAAACTCTCTATATATGAATGCATAACAATAGTTCACTTTACACAAAAATAATTTATACATACATAATTATATATATAATTCATCGCTACCAGCTCTACTCAGTTTTCCTGTTTCCCCTGAGAGGTCCCTAAGAGTGTTTTCCCTGAGTTCCCTGAGAAAGTGTTCCCCTGAGAGTCCCACAACAGAATGTTGCCCTGAGCAAGTGTTTTCCACAAGATTCCCCTGAGAGGCTCTTCTCCCATGAGACTCTTTGTGAGAGTACTCTGTAAGAGTACCCTGAGAGGCAGAGAGAGAGAGAGAGAGAGAGAGAGAGAGAGAGAGAGAGAGAGAGAGAGAGAGAGAGAGAGAGAGAGAGAGAGAGAGAGAGAGAGAGAGAGAGAGAGAGAGGTTGTAAGAACAACGGGAGAGACTCGAGGGAAAGGGAGAGCGAAGAAGAGATGGGGAAAAAGGAGAAATATGGGAAGAAGAAGAAGAGATGAATAGGCGAGAAGAACCTACAGCCACCTACCTCACACACAGACGCCGTCGGGGTCACCTGCAGGTCCTGGTAGGCGGCGTGGGCGCCTACTTGCTGCTGGGGAGCAGCTTCCCTGGCCTGCTCCACCCAGGTGCAGGTCAGCGGAGACGTGGGCGTGGCCTGCAGGCAACAGGGGTCACGGCAGGCACAAGGAGGCGTGGCCAGCAGTCTGCACGTCGCACACTCCCGCCACGCCCCTGCCTCGCACCAGGGTCCCTGTGGCCCCTGGCAGGCGTAGGGGCCACCTTGGCAGAGGTCAGGTCGGCAGCCCGCGCACTCTAGGTCATCGGGCAGTGGGCGGGTAGCGGGCTGACAGCAGGGTGGGCGGGCGCGGGTCCGGAAGTTGCCAGGGAGGGTGTGAGTGTCCAGACCCACCACAGCCCGCCCACTCCTCACCCCGCCCCGCCCACACGCCCTCTCCATCCCTCACTCTCACTCTCTCTTTCTCTCCCTACACCGCCCTCAACCAATCACAGTTCTCCTGCAGCATGGCGCCCGTCCTCCCTGCCTCCTCGTTCAATCATCAATGTCCAAGACGATCAAACTCCGTGCAGTTTTCCACGTGTTTCAGCCAAATAATAACGCCCCTTCATCATCAAAACTCCTCACCATCTACGTCACTATCGCCACCAATCATTTCATTATCGACATCGCCACCAGCTATACTTCACTATCAATATCGTCACCATCTAAGCCGCATAGTTTCAACTTTTTTTTTTCCTCAATTCACGGCGCACTGAGCCAGAGGTTAAAAATAGTGAAGGCACAGCATGGGTTTCTTAGCATCTACTAATACATCTGGCTGTATTTTGCTGTATAATTACATCACACTGATTGGAATCACTGGAACAAATAAAATAAATTCAGAAATAACCAAACAAAAACGCAAAAACAATTACATTAATGCGCACGCACACAAACACACACACACACATACACACACACAGCTGACTCAAGACTGACAATCAGGGCTAACACAGTGTGGTCTTTTATGAAAAAAAAAATACAGTACTTTATAAATTGAACTCGACGATTTTGTTTGTCTTTATTCGTTACTCTTTTGTATCTTTTTTTCCCCCCTAGCTTCTTTTCAACCTTTCTACATAACTCCGGCGGAGTGTGGAGCCCTCGGTGAGGCGCCTGTGTCGTCTCTGTCGGCTAGTTAAGTCATCCACTAACAACACACACGCGGCCAATTCAACAGTTTTGCTTAATTGTTACAGTTTTTGCTCTTAATTTTTCTTTGTAATGATAGGGGTCTGTAAGCTGGTTGACGGCGGTTGCCGCCCGTCAACACCTATCCGGCTACTGTCAACACCCGCCCCCGTCACTGTCAACAGGCGCTCCATTCCCGCCAAAACCCGCCCCCCGCCGCCACTGGGGCCGTCTCACCAAATACATTAATTTAGTTAAATACTGTCGCGACACATTTCATTAAAGCTACCGCCATTTCCCGGATTCATTTCTCAACTGTCCCAAGCAACAAAAAAATTAAAAAAAAAAAAAAAATCACAACAATGAAATATGTTTATGTTTCTCCTGTGTTTGCTGCAATAATAACGCAAGCAATTGCAGCGTTGACAGGATGCAGCGTTCAAGCCGACATTATTATCTTTTTTATTATTGTTCACGTGTTATATGCAAGTAAATATATATATAATGTATATTATATATTATACCTCTTCTTTCAGGCATTCGTTCTTCATTTTCAAACTTTTCGTTAGTCAGCGATTAATCACCTTTCAGTTCATATGAAAATATTAAGCTTCTTCAAACGAATTCTGACGGCAAACACTGAAAATATATTTTAAAAAAACCTAGTCTATGAGAGCGTGTGTACTCACCTAATTGTACCAACGTCACATGGTGGTACAATTACTCGTTCCTGATTTAGGTAATACCTGAGTGTGAACGATTGTACAGCGGTGTTTGTACCCTGCCTCCTCTTCCTCCTCCTACTACTAACACATTCTACTTGCTAATTACAATAAATAATTCTTTATGTTCACGTCATTCCATTGAACTTTCAGTTTTCAATGAAAACCATTTGCTAATGATATTAATTCCCCGCTCGGGTCATGGCAAACAAAGAGAATATGAGCATTACCAATTTTTATTAAGAGAAAGTAGATTTCAAGCTGTATGCCCACAATACGGGAATTAATGCTAATAGGGGTATATATATGCTGAAAGATATATCCCTCATTTACCGGTGTATATGTAATGGGGATTTATTTTAGTTCTTCAGTATGTTCAGGACTAAAGTATACTTGCTATACTTTATGTGCTAAAGTATATAACCCGTTATGTACTAAAGTTATATAATAAAGCATATAACCGTCCTTCAACCCAACACCAGACCAAATGCCAGACTCAATTGCGACGAGGACCAGTGTCGTAATTACCTTAGTGTAGTTACAGGATGAGAGCTACGCTCGTGGTGTCCCGTCTTCCCAGCACTCTTTTTGTCATACGACGCTCTGAAACTACTGACTGACAGTTTTGGCCTCCACCGCCTTCTCACTTGTTCCAAACCATCTACCACTGTTTAATATAACCCTCCGCGACATACCAGCTAACCAGTCACCTCTAATAATGGCTACATAAACTAATATGCTAAATGGGGAGTAATATGCAACCCGTTCTCGCAAATTTAATAAGTCAATATTGACTTATTAAATATGTGCATAGGTGACATACTTAACATAATAGATACCCTTAAAAAGATTCATAGAAAACACCGACCTTACCTAACCTACTTAGTATGTTAAGATAAGCATCTTATTGCATCGTAATTACAATTATTATCTAACCTATAATAGGTATAGGTTAAGTAATAATTGTAATTACGAAGCAATAAGATGCTTATCTTAAGATACTAACAAGGTTAGGTAAGGTCGGTGTTTTCTATGAATCTTTTTAAGGGTATCTATTATGTCAATATTGACTTATTAAATTTGCGAGAACGGGTTGTAATATGTTACCGAACTGAAGTTCTGGTGGTGTGTAGGGCTCTGCCCGCCCCCGCGGCTGTCCATGGCGTGGGGGCCAGATTCACGAAGCAGTTATGCAAGTACTTACGAACGTGTACATCTTTCCTCAATCTTTGACGGCTTTGGTTACATTTATTAAACGGTTTACAAGCATGAAAACTTCCCAATCAACTATTGTTATTGTTATAAACAGCCTCCTGGTGCTTCGGAGCTCATTATCTATTTCATAATTATAAACAACGCCGTCAAAGATTTAGAAAAGATGTACAGGTTCGTAAGTGCTCGCCGTAACTGCTTCGTGAATCTGGCGCCTGTGTTCTTTGGTGCAGTCTCTCTTCAACTGGTTTAATAACCCCCCCCCCCCACCCCCCTTTCCGGTTCTTTACACCGACCCTTTACTTCAGAGTATGTCTGTACTGTCATTAGTTAAGTTTAACAATGTTTACGTTCTAATAAATATTGTCCAGAAGGGCCATTAATCTCTGGAAAGTAATGAGGGTTTCGGAGCAGTTCTGTGTCGGTTTGAAAGCGACTCAACGAGTCTACAGCGGTGGATGATGTGGCTCAGTTGACAGTATCTATATACACTATATGTTTGCTATAGCGATATTTGTTCATGTGTAATCCATGGTTTATGTTGACCAGACCACACACTAGAAGGTGAAGGGACGACGACGTTTCGGTCCGTCCTGGACCATTCTCAAGTCGATTGTCGACTTGAGATTGGTTCAGATCGGACCGAAACGTCGTCGTCCCTTCACCTTCTAGTGTGTGGTCTGGTCAACATACTTTAGCCACGTTATTGTGACTCGTCGCCTGCCCATGGTATATTTTATATAAACGTTTATTGCATAGTTGATCGTCTTAAAACGCTATTTGATTATTATATTTTGTATTAATTATCAGCAAATAGCATCGGTCAACCCGTCCTCACACTAGGCTGGTTAAAGCAGCGGGCGTCCTCCCCAGCCGCATTCATAAATGTTAACATGCTGTGTTTTAATATTGGTTTGTTCTCATATATAAATTAATATTATTATACATAAAAATTCTATGTATAGTTAGGCGTAGGTTAGGTTAGGTGTTCAGGTTCTGTTGGCGATTATTTGTATTTGAAGTTCGTGGGTGAAGCATTTATAGAACTGTTGTTCGAACAGAGGACGTGAGCGAAGCACTTGTTCCGGAAGTGTTCGAACGTCAGCAGTTGTGAGTAGTGTGTAAACCGCTTTTCATTCATAAACAGAGGGTTTGGCGGCTGGATGGAATGGACTTTGGGTCTTTGTTTAGAGGACGGGCTCAGAAGCAATGATGCCAGATGAACATGTGCTGTGCTGGAAATGATCAGATGTTTAAACACCTACGAGGAGTGATTTATAGAAGGGGGAGGGGTGGATTTGTGCAATCGAAGCTGAGAGAAGGTGAGGATGTATACATACATGTGTGTGTGCGTATACATACATACATGTGTTTATATATGCGTGTAAGTGCGTTGTCTGTATTCGAGTATGTATGTTTACCACACATGCCACACATGCCACACATACACACACACACACACACACACACACACACACACACACACACACACACACACACACACACACACACACACACACACACACACACACACACACACACACACACACATACACACACATACACACACATACACACACATACACACACATATATATATATATATATATATATATATATATATATATATATATATATATATATATAACATTAAAAAAGTAATCCCCCACAGCCACCTAGCGCATAAAATGTACAATAAATCCTTCCTTTTAACTTCAGTAACGACCGGCGTTGTTTAAATTCAATATTTGCCTCTTTAAAATCCTTCAAGCACCGAGCCGTTATACTGATCATATTTGCTTTTAGTTCTGCCGTTGGTGACCTCCTGTTTGGGCGAGGCATTTCAGCAGCAACAGAGGGAGAGGACAGCTGCGCAATTACAGCAGCAACAGAGGGAGAGGACAGCTGCGCAATTTCAGCAGCAACAGAGAGAGAGGACAGATGCGCAATTTCAGCAGCAACAGAGGGAGAAGACAGCTGCGCAATTTCAGCAGCAACAGAGGGAGAGGACAGCTGCGCTATGCTGTTGTGGGAACCGCTGGTGTACAGCAGCCTCATGCCAAGCGAGATCTGTATAACTCAAGAGTCAACACCAGGGATATATGCACCCAGAAATGTATTCCTCTTCAAGGTGTATATATACACCATCAAGTGTATTTCAGGGTACAATATATAAAATACAACTGTATTGTATGAAGATGTATATATATAAACACAGGGAGTTTTTACTATAGCTCTGGGCAATGTTCAAAGACTCAAATATGATAGGATCGTTCAGGTTGCTTATTTCTTTAGTCCCTCTCGTCCCTCAGAGTGATGGTGAGGGGTGATGCACATTCTGTTAGCTGTTTGTTATGCCCCTTGCAAGGTCTGGCCTGGAGTCTGGGCCCCTGATTCTGTCAACTTTCTCCCCCGTAACTCTTCCTGATTGGTCAGCTCTCTCACATGCGATTGGTCCATTTAGAGCTCATCCTTGATTCGTAATTGATTTTATATTCATTAGGCTCGTAGGAATGTCACATAAGACTCGTATTGTTGTTGTGATGCTCCAAGATATCGTTGTCTCGTACAAGAGAGCAAACACGATTCAACGTTCGTGTTTGTGGCGCGTAACTTGGCCTGACGAACATATCCACTAGCCACCACACGTACAATATACTTCAACAAGTTTTTGGAGAGTTTACCGCCACCACCACTACTACCACCAACGTCACCACCACTACCACCAACATCACCACCACCACCACCACCACC